GTTCCAGAGGCCCCATGCAAAGCCAGATTCCTCATCTCTGGAGTGTTCTTGCTCCTGTGACACACAGGGATCTTCCCTTTGACTGCCTCGGTAACCTCAGAGGGCACATTGTCAGCAAACCTCCGAGCTGGGAGGGGGGGAAGCTGAGCCAAGGAAGTGGGAGCAGGGAAGCACAGAGATCCCTGTCACTCAAGCCTGCCTCTCCCTGGGATCCTGTGGCTCGTTCCCACAGTCTGGCATGTGATGGAGCCAGTCTGAGATGCCTTAATATTACCTGACATGGCCTCAAAGTGTTATTCCTCCTATGTTTCATTAGTATTTAGTAGGAGGACATTTGGTTGGTGTTTTACCTCTCCAGGTTTTCTTTTTTTTTTATTATTATTCTTTTTACTCCTTAGAGATGCTACAATTTGCAGCATTTCCTGCTGTAAATAGATCCATATAGAAAGTGGAAGGTGAACTATAAAAGGAAAATGGTTTGGCTTAAGCTTATGTTGCTACAACTACTCCCCCAGTTCTCTCGGCAGCATCCGAGTGGAAATCTCTCCTTGTCATTTGTGGGCACGATTCTCCCTGTGAATCGATTGTGTGGGGAGCATTTCATCCTGGGGCAGTCCCCTGTGATGTCAGGCCAAGGTGGGAAAGCAAGACAATCCCAAATTTCTCCCCAGACATTGCTCAGCAGGGACACGTTATCCCATCAGCCCATCCAGACAGGCATTTGAACACACCTTGTGAGCTACAGAGAGCATTGAACTCAACATCTGTGTTTGACATCATTTGTCAAGTTATTGTCAAGGTAATTTCTGTCCCTGTTGGTTTTTGTCTGTTCAGTCTTTCATGATGTGGCCTTTTAAAAAGGAGACACAGAGGAGAGACAGGACTTGAGATTTCCATGCTCCAGCCTCGAATGTGGAGCTGGATCTGCCACTGTAAAATGAAGATATCTTTGCATTTTTCCAGCTGAAGAGGGGGTGGATTGTAGGCAAAGGAGAAGAGAAACACTGAGTTCAACACCATGAGGTGCTTTTAGGTCATTAACTGGAGGGTGTAAAGCCATGCTAAATAACTTGTAAATAAATAAGTTCTGCTTATTTATAATAATTTAAGATTAACAATAATCATTTAGGATTAACAATCCTAAATAGCCATTTTGACCTGTCCAGTCAAATCAATGTTTGTGCCTTTTTTTTGGTGGTTTTGTTTTTGTTTGTTTGTTTGTTTTGGGTTTTGTGGTTTTTTTTGGTTTTTTTGGGGGGGTTGTTTGTTTGTTTGTTTTTGGTTTTTTTTTAATAAAATACTGTATTTGGAGGACTCTCTCTCACCTGCTCTTCATGAATGTGATTACTGAAGATGGAGAGCTGTGGGTTTGGCTGCTGTCTCTTTAGGAAATCTTTTAAACTAGGATTGGAAACAGAATATTTTACAGCCCGTGGAAAAACATCTAAAGGCTGCCGTTGTGTCGCTCAGGCCAGAACAACCAAAAGCCCTAATGTATTTTATCTTCTGTTCTGTTCCTCAACACTATAAATAATTCAGATCTGTTGGCTTAACTACTACTGGCAACTGTTATTTATTAAGAATGACTGAAATAACTATGTGGCTCAGTAGAACAGAATGCATTAGGGACTTTAATGTGAAACAGGATAGCTGAAAAATGTCGATTATCCTTTCAAGAGAAAACCTAAACCCCTAAACCTGCTGTTATCCTTTGCAATTGTGCAAAGGACAAGTGACAGTGGGAATTAGGATGTGGTCTTTCTGGGTAAGGAAGGGTTTGTACCTCTAAAGAGCACCAGCCCCGTTTATCCCTCTGGCATCTTGATCTGTTGGGCATCAGGATCAGTAATTTTGAATTTGAGGTTCCAATATAATCCTCTCTGTGCCCCACTGTATAATGCTGGAATCTACTTGTGGTTATATGTTTGTCTGTAAAGTTGTTTTTGAGGGTAATGCATTGTTTTTTCATGTTTGCTTTTCATTTCTTTGTGTTGCAAGTCGGGAAAGAGCAGCAGGATTTTCTGGGATCAGTGCAAGGGAACTGCTGCTCTCTCACTCCATCCCCCCTTCAGGGTTAATTAATAATATCTGGCCCTTCTTGGTACTTCATCACTGGTGCTGAAATTGCTTTCCAGAGGTCAATATCATTATCCCTGTTTTGCAGAGGAGCCATTGGAAGGGCTGGGAGGAGGCAGGGAATTGCTCCGGCACGGCCAGAGCGTGTTCCCGCGGAGGGGCAGGGACTTGGCCGTACATCACAAGATGTATCACCGTGTAACACCAGAGTGCTTTTGCAAGTCAACTGATTATAAATGGTGCATTTGGAATAAATTTTTTATCACAAAAGAGTTGACATGCAGGACTTGGATGACTAATTATCTAATCTTACATCTGGCATAAACACCCAAGCCATTTGTATGATGGACTGCGTTGCACAGGAGGGAGAAGGAGCGGGAGAACATTCGCTGCTGACTCAGTGCTCGTAAATCTTCCGGGGTGTCTTTTGCCTTAGATTTGATATTTGTTCAATGGGTTGAGAGAAGTGAAGTGATCAAATGTCATTTGGAAATCCTGGCTCCTGCAGCTTTTATTTTTTTCCCTCGGTTACCTGAACACAAACGTTGGAACACGAGCACAGAGAGTTGGGGGACTGGCTTTGTGGGGTGTTCCTTTGAACGGGCAAATGTGGATTCAGCGTCTTCACCCCTTTTTAAAGGAGTCATTTGCCATTTGTTTGCCTTAATGATGATCTGCAGTAGAGCGTGGTGTGTGCTGCTGTGCAGCATTTGGTTCCATTTATTTAAAATTAAGTCATTAACTACAACAGCACAAGGCATTTTTCTTTTTGAAAGTAATCAGCAGACGGGGGTATGTTAATCTGATCCCAAAGAAAAAGATGCTCTGCATCGGGTGATTCTTATTTAACTTGTATTTCTGGACACATCAGATTTTATGGGATATCCCTTCCAGTTAAGGGAAGTATCAATGAAAGTTTATTTTAAACAGAGAGGAAAAAACAGGACATGAATCAGTGGTAAGGAAAGGATACACCTGAACCTTTAGGGCCAAAGTGTGCCTGAGGGAACAAAGTTTTCTGCAACATGAACTTTTCTAGATACTGTGTCATTAATATTTTATAGTAAGCAGAGAAATCATCAGAAAATCCAGCTAGGACATAAAATACCTAAAATAAAAAGAATATCTCTAAGTGCTTTCAGAGTGAGCTTGGACACTCTCATTGATTTTAGACAGCATCTCATTTCATCTTGACAAAGTACAGAATTTATAAATTAAATCTGATGTATACTGTGTACGGTTTTATGCTGATGTTGGCACACTTTCAGATGTAAAATTAAATTACTTTTTCCAATAAGGCAGCATAGATTGAAGCATGGATTCCTTTCTTTGCTAATGGAACTAGTAGAAAAGATATTGAATTATGCTGACTTTGGAATTGTGCGAGAGCCAAAGAGAGGAAAATCAATGACATTTTTAATGTCCTGTGGAGCTTTTAAACAGGCCTCTGGTCTGGCAGAGACACTCCCCATGAGGTAACTGTTGTTGACATTGGTTTTCCAGTGAAGAAAGGTATTTCTGCAGGTAAGCAGCACCTTTGCATCCACGTGGCTTCATCCCAAGTGGGCAGTGCCTGGGTTTTGGAGCATCAGAAGACTCTGGTGACACAGAGTGTGTGTCACTGAAACCCTGAGCAGAGAATGTGCTGTGCAAACATGCAGCCTAATCCCTGTAGAACAATGACAACAAAAACCAGAAGGATCTTTTCTCTCAGTTTAAATCCCTGGAAGTCACATGAGTGGGTAATACAATAAATTATCTTTGTTTTGATTAATTAATGATAGGGTGAACACAAATTTATTTTTACTATGTGTTCGCATTTACAAAGCTGAATACTAAAGATCTAAGTTTTATAATCAATGTCCATCATATATGTGGCTTGCTGGTATATTTTAAATTTTATAATGATAATTTTGTAAAAGGTATTTATGGCAGTAATTAAAATTGTATGGAAGAATATCCAATTCCTCAGAATCTTGCTCCTCCGATAGAAAATGTTCTGATTTAGATAGGGGCAAATTGCTATATAGGTACATCCTTAGCATCTCAGTACTGTACCAGAGGTTCATGGATTGTGGTTCATTTTTCCTGCATTCCTTCAAAGTCCAGGTTTTCCTTTCTTTTAATAAGAGGTGGATATAATCCTGTGAAGGGCTCAAGTCCTGGAATATAATTTTCAACAACAAACTTCTATCTTCAGTTCTTTGATGTAATGAAGAAAACCATCATACAGTCACTTCTGGGAATTCAATTTCTTGCAGTAATTTGGCTTTCAGCCCCTGGGAGATTCATCTTGGGTTCTTAAGGGTTGTTGGTGTTACAGTCGGTGACTTCTGTCATTTTAAAAGCTGCCACGGCATCAGCTCCTGAGATTGGAATATAAGTAACCTCAGAACTGCCAAATTGTGAGGATGAGTGAGAGAAATGATAGAATTAGGTCTCAAAGATAACACAGGGGCAATCTCTTCAGCAGAACAGCTCTGTAAAAGCTGGTTTATGTGGTTTGGATTCTTCTCAGTTCACCCCTTCGGTGTCAATGCTGCTTTATTGGCAGCCATTAAATCCCGAATGCTTAGGAGTGCTCTGTGGTCAGCAAGCATTTCTTTTTTAGATAAACACTGCCCTTCATGACATTGGACCTCATCAAAGAGACAAAGGTGACCTTTTTATTTTCTCTTGCTTACATTTTGTTCGCTTTATGTACTGTCATGTGGACTTCCCCCTCTGGAGGGAAGAAGGACTGACTTGCTAAGCAGAACATGGAGAAATTCCAGTAGCATCATTCCAACTTTGTTTCACATCTCAATCCAGCTGTTGTAGATGTTACCTGATGAGCAGTGCTCCTCTGGTTTGGTTTTTTTTTTTTAACATTCAGTTAAGACAGACTTAACTACAGGAAATATCTATATAAACTTGGTCTAGAATATGTCAGTGAAAAGGTTAAATATTTGATAAACACTGTCTGTATAGACATGAGCATGGTAAACACATCAGAAAGAGTGTATTTTTTAATGGTTGTGTATTATATTTCTGTTGCTTACAACTGTCAGCACAAGGACAGAATGGTTTTGAATGTGACCAGGCAGCTGTCTCTGGGAAGCCTATAGATAGCAGCTTCCTTGGGTGGCACGTTTTCAGCTCCTTCAAACAGATTTATCAAGCATCTTTACTGTCTCAACACTGCCAGCTCAAATGACTTCTCAAGGAGCTTTGGTTATGCAAGCTTTTAGAAGGTGCATTGTTTTTTCTATTTGTTTCTTTTTCTGTGTGTGCGCGCTGGGGTTTTTTTTAGTAACTCGCTGCAGCAGCTAAAATCCAGTGCAGGGTTTCACCATGTGTTAGGAAAAAAACCCTACACTCTATTTGTCCACCGTGACCAGGCTTTAAATAAGCATCACAACTTTCCCCAGCTGTGCAGAGCAGCAGAACAGCAACGGGTCAGAGCCACGCTCTGAGTGAGGAGAGGAGATCCTGCCGAGACAGGAGCTGGAAATAGCATCTGCTTGGCAGAATGAGAGGATACATCCATAATCATTCTGGGGTCTTGGACTGCTTCACAAAACATTCCTCTCTGAGTCCTGTGCGACCTAGAGGAGTTAGGAGACAAACAGAAGCCCCTCAGCTGGCTCCATGTCCTTCTGGAAGGCCATGGAAACAGGAGGTGGATGAAGGGAGGGCTGGATAAACAGCCAAAGGACCGTCCCAGAGAATTCTCTGCTGCAGTTCACAGCATGGGACCTTTCAATAATAAAGGCTGTAAAGGCTTCTTCAAAGAGCTTCCAGGCTGGATCCGAAGCTCCATCTGGAAGAAGTCTCATGAGACTTGGGAGTGTTTTGTAAATACAGGCTGGGGACAAATGAGGTTTTACTTAAATTGAACCTGGCAAAACTTGCTTTCTAACAAGAACTTGTAACAGGCCACAGGAACAGGAGTGTTTCCTAAACTGTATCCCTGCTGTAATGTCTTTTGGAAAGGGTGTAGTTAGCTTGTCATCCCTACAAAGTCTTTTACTAGCACAGTAAATTATAGGGCTTTGGGGAATGTGCTGTACTTGGCTCTTTTTGGGTCATGTTCTTGGTCTTGGACTGCTGTGTGAAACCAAACACGCTGCTTTATCCTGTTTGCCCGTGGATTTTTGTGCTTCAGCAGATTGAATAGCATTTCTATTTAAATCATGCTTCATTCTAACTGAAACAATTGCTGTTCTGTAGTGTCAGGGGATTCTTGAGGTAACAGAAACACTGTATGTTTTGTGATTTACTGACCGGTTTGGCCTTTGAAAGCCCCAGTATGTTTCGGGCCATTTTCCTGGCTCTGTTTGGGTTGCTGATGCCTCATCAGTGACTCCAGACCACGACAGTGTTCATGTTTTCAGCACTGGTGGCCCTTGTTGGGTATTTTGCTCAGGGGCAGTACCATGTCTGCAGCATCAACAGATCCAGAACATCAGCATCACTGAGTTTAAGGACTTGCTTTTGTGTTTTTCCCCTTTTGAGATGCATCAGCTTTTGTAGGAATTTGTTGGTGTGGTGCAGCTCTTGCTGCCCACGAGTTATCAGCTACCTCAGACTGAACTTGCTCTCTCAAGCTGTTGTTTGCCTGTGTGTTCCATTTAGCACTTCTGGCAGCATCTGAGAACAGAGAACAGATAAAAAAGTATGAAAGGTCCATAAATCTTCTACAGATTGAAAATATCTCCCACTCTCATCTTGATATTTTTCACTTCAGTTGTGCTCTTATCAAGAAATTCCAGAGTACTTTATGAACACTGAATTAAGCTTTCTACAGCCTTCCTCCCTCTCCTCCTCTCCCCAAGGAAATGACATTATCATCCCTTGTTTGTAGATGAGGAATGAAGGTCTGAGTGGAGAAGTGACTCGTCCAAGGTCAGTGGCACAGCTATGAATAGACAAAGGCATTTTAGCTCTCAGCTCTCTGCTAAACAAGATCGTGCCCTCCCGGTTCCAATTTGTCAAACTTAATGACTAATAGCATTTGAGCATCTAGAATGTGGCAGAAGAATTTATTTTCAGCAGGTAATCCCTAGTTGTGCCAGCAGCAGGATGCAAGGCTCCTCCAGTCCCCCATGGATCCTGTCTGCCCAGAGTAGGGGTTGTTGCTGTTTGTTTGGGATGCTGTAGGTGCTCACGTGAGGCAAACAAAGATCCCAGACCTGAGTCTTCATTTGTCTTGGTGGAACAGTAATGAAGTGTCCTGAGAGTGGTTTGATTTCAACAGCTACGTTAAAAGGAGTAAAAACCCTCCAGTGCAGTCTGCTGCACCTGAAGGGGAAAAGTAATTCAACTAAAGTCCTCCCAGGAGCAAGGACAAGAAGTAAATTTTGAGCTGAGCTAATCAGGAAGAGGAAGTCATCTGTCTGCATCTGGTCACTTCCCTGCTTACATGGCACAGCCCTGTAACAGCCACATAAGAAGCTTTGTGATCAACAAATGTCAAGGCCAATTAATTCCTGGGCCAGCAGCTGTTATTATTAGGACTAAGAGTGGCCAGACATAGAAGGAAAGCCTTCAGCTGATTTATTTTCTCTACCTTTCCCATCAACATTGATCAGCTGCTCAAACCCTGGTGGTGAATTCCCATGCAGTAAGAATTTTAAATTTGCCATCTCTCTTTCTTTTAGTAGGAGAGCTTAGATTAGATTTAGAGCACAGAGGAATAGCTCAGAAAAGTCGTTTAGAAAGTCTTCCCCTCTTTAATGCTATCAGGATGGAGCAGAGTTGTGTGTTAAGCTGGTAACATAATAATATGTGGGCTGAGTTAAACCCACCTCAGACTGTTTTTCTCAAACTTAATTGATGGAAACAGCCCACTTTTAGGCTTGATTTATTACCTTACCAGAGTTATTCCAGGACTGCTGCGATGCAACTGTGGGTGTTCTAAACACACCTACGCTGCCAGAGAATCAGGAAGGATGTACTTAAAATCCTCTAATTTATCTAATAACATCTTTAGCAGCTTTTTGTGTAGGTTCAGCATTGTAATGGAAATGCAGTCCCTGGCTGGATAAAGAGCTGCTGTGTGGAATTCTGGCACTGGCTGTGGGGACATGTAAATAGCACTTGGAGCTGATGGGAGACGTTCTCTGTCCAGCTCCATGACCCTGTAAATGCACCTTTCAATTGTGTCATCTGTCACTGTGGTTAAAATAATATCTAAAGTTTCAGATATGAGTGTTCACGACTCTGGATCTTCATAGATGTGGCTGTCCCACCTTCCAACCCCAGGCAGAGCAGAGTTTCCTTATGTCAGGGATATTTCTTCTCTGCTGTTTAGGTCCCAAGTCTCTATTTTAGCAACAGTTGTTGCTCCAGTTCTTAACCAGGTTCCCTCTTTGCCCATCAGGGAGGGATTGTTTGTAAGGGACACAAAACAAGTTTGGTTTTCCTGAAAAGTTCCAGCCCCGAGCTGGTCAGGGTAAGCCGTGGACTGGCAAAGCAGCTCAGGTTCCTGTGGTGTTGATCACTGCTGACATCATTATTCTATCCCAGGCATTCTATTCCCTTTTTGTGTAACATGGGAATCACATGTAACATGACCAGAAACCAGCATCACCACTGTGGAGTTTTTGGGCTAATAACAGACCTGAAAAACCTGCCCTTTTTGAGTGGAATAAAGGCAGAAAAGCCAAGACAGAGAATCAGCTCCCACCCGCGCCACAAGTAACGGAGGTCCCGCTGGGTTTTCCTGCTGTTGATCCCGGGCATTGCTGTAGGTAAAGAGGATCAGAGTTCCCGTGTTGTGCTGGGCAGAGCCATCCTCAGGCAGCTGATTTCCCCAGCAGCCGAGGCTCATTAGCGCTGCTGAGGCTGGAGTGCTGCGTGAGCGGAATGCTCGGCTCTGATTCCAGGGAAGGCTCCTGCACGGGGTGGGAACGTGGTGTGAGTGGCTCTGCAGAACTTCAAGGGCCAGCACTGGTCTCATGGACAGTGCTGGGCAAAGCTATTCATTGCTAATCTTACACTGAAATCATTTCTAGATAAGTTGAATGGTAAACAATGAGGGCTGGAGGGCTTACCCTGTGTGTATATTCTAACTCTGTTGCATAATCTGACTGTTTGTAGCAGCATTTGGCACCAAGAATCTGGAAAACTTGGTGGCAAAATGGCTTCTCAAAACAACCCAAGAGTAGCAATCCTGCCTTTTTTTTTTCCCCTGGAATTCAGATTCCCTCTGAAGCTACAGCACATGGGAAAGTTTGGGGGGCTTTTCCTGGGCAGTGAACCAGCTGTGAATGGAAGTGACAGTCACCACGTGCTCCTCAGGCTCCAGAACGAAGCCTGAGGACTCCAGTGCTGTGTGTAGAAGTTTTCCTGCTCTGGATTTGGTTGGAATGATGTGTCTAGTTAACATCCCCTCTCCAACCATACTAAGAGCATCCCAACAGACTTACTGGGCACAAGCAGAAGGAGTAGGCTCAGGAAGTGCATATGCTCATTGCCTGTTCCCTGGACTTCTGACATGGAATTCTCTTGCTGATGGACAGTTTCTGAGACTGAAATTGGCTCCTGTGACAGGAGATTTGTCTCATGGAGGACACCAATCGTATCTATGGAAACTGGAAGCTTCAGGCTGTGTCAGGAGACACCTGGAGAAGTTCAGGCTGACCAATGCGAAATACAAAGTCATACATAAATTAAGAGGTATTAAACTCCTCTTGAATGAGAGGATGTACATTAAAGTGGCCTTGGTTTGCTATAGATTAATTAATCTTGGGAGATACCAGGTTTAATTAAGATACAGTGAGTTAGAGCCACTTCACTTTGGATAGAGATCATTCACAAGGGAAATTTTTAACCTTATGCACACCAACATCATGCCTCCTATGGCTCAGCCTTAACTTTCAGTGCCCCTTGGAGAGGCCTTGGACACTGAAATCTGAGGACTTCTCCTATCCTTTGGAATTCTGACTCCAGTTCTTAGGAGAAACTGGACAGACTGGGCTAAAGATAAAAGTGTATAATGCACGTGTAGAAAACGTGTGGTAAACCAGGGTTGTGTGACAGGCTCTGCAGGGGGGCTCAAGTCCAGATTTGAAAGGCATTTAAATAGAGGTTATGAAATGGACCATTAAAACTTAAGTAACAGGGAACATAAGAGTGAACCGGGGTTACTAAAATCCATAGGGTGAGTCTGAGGTCCTGCTGCAGGGTCGTGGTGCTGTCTGGTAGAGAAGAGTCTTGGTGAAAAACTAGTTCTGTGTTTCCCTGACTGCGAGTGACCTCCCTGGATCAGATTAAAATATCTCCTGGTGTGTTTCTCTTTTTCTTTTCCAGCAATTGCCCCTCATTTTTGGCCGCTGCTTTAGCAAGAGCAACCTCAGACGAGGTCCTGCAGAGCGACCTCTCGGCACATTTCCTACCAAAGCACGTGGACAACGCGGACGGGATCATACGTAAGTGCCTCCCTGGGGGGGTCTGGCACTGCCACTGCACACTGGAACACTGCAGATAATTCATAGGTTTTTAAGGTCAGCTTTGGCTTCAGTGATCCATCTTGTCTGACCACCTGAATTTCATTAATTCCTCAAATTAGTTCTTCCTACCAGCCAGCTAAATGAAGTTGGACTGGATTTCTGGTAGAGGAATATCCCTCACTGATGTAAAAAGATTAATGGAGAATTCCCTACCACTCTGATACAGGCAGTGACTAATTTCTTGGTCAAAGCTTTCTCATTTTGAAAGAACTCCTTCCTTTTAAGTGCACCTTCATGGCTGTGTCTGATGGCCCTGAATTTCTTTATCAGCACTTTAGACCATGTGGTTCTGCTGGCAAGTGCTAGTTGTCCTCCCTCATCCTTGGAGCAAAGTCAAATATATGTGGGAAGAGCGAATTTAATTCTGAATTATTTCAGCCAGTGTAGTTTTTACTATGGCTTGAATTTTTTTTTATACAGTTTTAGCAAAAGATAGTATAAAGAGATCTCAGGATTAAAAGGGGGAAAAAAAATTCCTTTCCCTCATTTATCTTTGTTGGCTAAGAAGATTTTTGCAGCATCCAGCTCAAGGTCATGCACCTGAAATCATTTCAGGACTCTGCTGGCCTAAATAACCTTGAAAAAATGCTGGGTTGCTCGTTACAACAAAGAACAATGTTTCTCACATGTATTGACAGGAATTCTGTCATTTGATCTTGAAAATACAGTCACTAAACCACTTTGTCCATTCCTTCCTTTTTTGATTAAAAAAAAAAAAAGTGAATTATTCTGGGGATAAGGAGGATCTATAAATCTGGCTCTTCAAAAAGGAAGATTCAGCTGCATTCCCCAGAGGCCTCTGGAAACCTGAGAAACAGAAAAACATGCTCTGGGTTCCCTTTCTGTAGGTATTGCTGCCTCCTCCTGCTGAGCAGGTAAATGGAATAGATTTGTCATTGTTCTGACTGAGCAGCCTTCATTAATTTCAAATTGAGATCTCTGAGATGTGCATAAATATTTGACAGTCTCCAAGGAAATGTTGACTAAGCCTCCACACCGAATATCTAAAGAATTCAACAAAAAAAAAGAAAAAGAAAAAGGAAAAAAAAAAACCACCACCACAAAACCCTCACACCTACAGAAATTGCCACTCAAATATATCTGAGTCTGGAAGACAGATGCAAACGTAGATTGAGATGGGAACAGACTGGAGCAGGCACTAAGAATAGCACTCCAGATGCAGTTTGTTGAGGTGAATTGTCACGATGAAGGTACTTGGAAATCAAATATACCTTTACTGATGCAATGTGAAAAGTTAAATTGAGAAGCTAAAGGGCAGAGGAACAGAGAGAACATCTTCTGGCCCATAGTACAGCAAAGGTTTCATACAAACACTGCAATTTCAAATAATATGCCATAAATGATAATTTTTCCAAAGAGAACATGAGCTCAAGTGATCACAGAATTAGAGCCACAGAGTGGTTGGGGTTGGAAGGGACCCTAAAGGCCACCCAGTTCCACCCCCTGCCATGGACAGGGATGCCACTCACCAGACCAGGTTGCTCCAGGCTCCATCCAACCTGGCCTTGGATACTTCCAGGGATGGGGCAGCCCCAGCAGAGCCAGGGCTCCATCAGTGCTTCATCACCTGGTGATGGAAGGTTTGGCCTAGAAAACCAGAACAAAACTGGGGGAATTGGGCAGGACTGAAGATTTCATTGCAAAACTCCATCCTAGTGAGCCTTCCTAGGGGAGTCCCTTGAGAAACCTGGGTAGGAAGTCAGAGGAGACCTGCCCTCACTGGTGCCACACAGGGAGACTGTCATGCTTTGAAAGAAAACAGAGGAAACTGCAGCAGGGGATAAAAATGGGAGTTCTACATCTTGAAGTTTTGTGCTCAGAGTTCACTGTGCCCTGATGCTGTTTGTGAAACCAAGCTGAATTCAGCTGGCTGGTTTTAATATCCACTTCTGTCAGTGTTTCTTATGAACCCAGGAAGATTTTTACTCTGTGTAATACAAGGAGACATTTACCTGATTTGCCTCAAGTTTGAATTTGCCAGAAGACAAAAAAAAAGTAATTTCAAATTTCCTTCGTGGCACATTTCACTCAGAGAATTGCAATGTGACAAATCATGGCACAGACTCAGGGGTGGTAAAAGCAGTCATGGGTGTGCTGGTGGAAGGGAAATTAGAAGCTTCCTGAAAGAAGAGGGCAAATCTTAAATGAAGGAAAACTGTTTTGAGTCCACAAATGTAGGAATGCAAGAATATGGGCTTGTTACATTTGGGGTGACTGTGTGTCTTTGGATATCAAGAACAGAACCTGAGTCACAGGCCATGACTGACTCTTCCAGTTGGAGAGGAGCAAGAGAGTTTCCATGAGAACTGAAGGATGCTGGATTTCTGTTTTGAAAGGTCAGGTGAAGGACCTTTAGTTTGGGGTTGTTGTGTGGAGGTAGATAATCACGTGGAAGTTTGGCATTGTTAAGGAACCACCAAAGGAGGCTGGATGGTAGTGACTCTGTGACATGGTGGTGATATCTAAAATATCTAAAATATCCATCAGACATCACAAAGCAAATCATACCATCCCATTCCCCAGCCCTTCCAGGGACTGGGAGATGGGATTACTGCAGCCAAGACACAAAGGGACCATTGACTAGTCGGAAACTGGAGTTCCCAGATAAAGGAAAACCTTGGCCATTGGCCTGATGACAAGTCTATAAATGTGGGTTCTGACCCCTGTTGTCAAACTGTCCGTGTTTTCAAGAGAAGTCATAAAATATGGTGCTAAAAATCAGGATCTAATTCCTGGTATTCTTTCTACCCTGATTTTACCCTAAGAGTCAGTCTCTGGGAACAATAGTGCCTGAGCTGGCTTTCCCACCAGCTGTGGTGCAGTGAAGCACTACTTCCAACCTTGGGGACTGTGGAGCAGCAGGAGGGAAATGAGATTCTCCGTGACACAACCGCAGTGACAGCTGAGTCAGCTCTGGCTCAGGGCAGCAACGTTAACAATTGATGAGTAATTTCCAGCTGTGAGGGGGCGGGTTAACCATTGTGGGTTAACCATTGTGGGCCTTTCTGCTTTAACCTCAAGAGCAATTACTGACGATGCCAACACTACATATATCCCCACTGGGAAGGGTGTTGAGGATCTGAGCACAGCCAGTGGGTTCACTCCCGTCCTCCCTCAGTGACACTGTGACACTGTGAGGTGGAGCAGCCACATGACATTCACATGTACCCCGACACGGCCCCCACTGCCCTTCGTCTCTGCCCAGAGATGGAGGAGCAAGTCTGGGGCCTTCCCTCTGGAAAATATCATTTGGACACATCAGGCTGTACGTGCTCCCTCTTCCAATACATTACCCAGGAAAGGGTTTCTGGTGGCTCTGGTGAGAGCTGGACAGGTGGTGTGAGGAACTGGTGCCTGTTACTGGTGGGATCAAGAAGCTAAGACTTCTGTTAGTCATGGGTACAGTGTATTTCCAGCTTCATGGCTGCTCAGTAGATTAAACTGGAACCAACTCATAATCAACAGAGCTGGGAATGTATCTTGTTCCTAAAGGCCTTGGCTCCCTGGTCACTGTAGCCCACATTTTGTGTAGGCCTAGGTCAGAAATTAGTAAATGCTGCTTTTAGGCTCTTCACAGAATTCCTGTGAACCAAGAGATGCTGTAACACTCCCCTCTCCTCCCTGCATTTGAGCCCCTCCTCCTCCAGGAATGATTGGCACTCATGGATTGCTGCCTTCAGCTTTGAAGATCTCTGCCTTTGGTGAACGATCATGAACAGAGATTTTGATGTGTTCAGCTCTGATTACTTCCTGTTTTCCTGCCCTGAATTTCAGAACAAATGTCAAGTGCCTGAGTTTTCACATTTTAAAATGCCTATTTCTCAGGAGTGACAGTTCAGCATTTTCCTAAATTTGAGACCTTTATGGTTTTCTCACTTGCTCATGCAGATTTCTTTGACACATCATTGTCAGGAGTATGGAAATAATAAGAAATCTGGAAATAACTGAGGCAGCACCTGAGTTGTGCAATGCTGAAAGTGTGCACTGCCAGAACACCTTGAAGTAATACTGCTAATTTCTGTAGATTGTTTCCACTGTTCTGCCTCGGCTCTGCAGTGAAATGGTGTTTAGAATAGAGAATTGGGTCCCAAACCAACCTCTCATTGTTATGGATGGTGGGTTTTGTACGTGCCATGACAAAGTCCTTGTCAGAGCTGCACCACCCTGGGCAGAGTGGCACAGGGGGATTGGATGCTGAGGGAAGAGTACATTTTTTTCTCATGCTGCAAATGAGCTCCCCAAAGGCACAGGGAAATGTTTAAGTTGAAAAGACAAACAAACAATGAGCTGCTTAGTGATGAATGCTGATTGTGGTGAGTTTGGCTTCCCCTTTTCATGCATCAGAGCCCAGAATTTCCCTGCTGACATCCATTTCAACTGCTTGGCTGAAACGGTTTTGTTTCATCTCCGCGATGTATGCAAGGGAAAAAAATTTCAATTAGTAACACTCTCAGCCTTTCATTTGTGGTTTGTGCCTTCCCCAGAGATCGAGACAGTGAAGTTGGCCCGCCTGGTTTTTAGCAAACTGCACGAGATCTGCAGCAACTGGGTGAAAGACTTCCCCCTGCAGCCCAAGCCCCACCGCTACTACGAGACGTCCATCCACGCCATCAAGAACATGCGCAGGAAGATGGAGGACAAGCACGTCTGCATCCCTGACTTCAACATGCTCTTCAACCTCGAGGTGAGCACAGATCACCAGGGAGACACCATAGGATAATGGTTTCCATTCCTGGGGAAACTGGGGCATCTTCTGCTGAGGGGATGAAATGGGATGGGCCTGAGCAGGGTTGGCGGTGCAGGGACACACGTGGTGTTGAGTTGGTTCAGTTGGTGTTGGTGTAACCACAGCGTGACAGGCAGTTTCCACAGAGGGTATATACAACAAAACAGCCACTTGCACAGATTTCTGGTGAAATGTCACCTGACTACACAAAGGTTGTACCTGGCCCATCCTGATGCAGCCGCTCCCGCAGTGGCTCAAGGACTGCCCTGCCTTTGTGCAGAAAGCAGCCCTGCTCTTGTGAGTGGGAACTGATGCACTTGTAGTACTGTGAGATAAACCAAGGCTGGAGCCTCCTCTGGCTGAGGATGTCCAGGTGTGGGAGATCATCACCAGTGGCAAAGACAAAGGGGGTCACCTTACAGTCCATCACTGAAGCCAGGTGACAACCAGGGGTAGGTCTGTTCTGCTTTTCAACCGTCCCCTTGGGAGGAAGAAGCCAAAAGTGAGAATAAGGACAGAAAGTAAAAAACCCCAAACAGACACAAAACTTACAGGACAATGGGGTGCAGCTCCCACGAGAATCTACCAACATGAAGGTTTAGTGGAACTGGGGTCATTCCACCCCATTAATTTCCTTATGTGGCCATTGGTCAAACACTCACTCCTGCTCTTCCTTGAGATATAAAACTGGACACTGAGGAATGGAAAATAAAAGAAAGTATCAAGACTTTTACTTTTAGGATCAGATTGCTGCATAATTGCACCTTTATTACATCCTGTCACTTTAATAACCATCTTCTGCCCCATCCACATTCTTACCTTTAAATTATATTAATGCAAACAGAGGCAGATGTTTCCTTTGCCTGTCAATTGTCAGCTTTCTTATTCCAATTTGTGTTGGAGCCCATTACCTAAAAATTACAATGTGCAAATATTCCAGTCATTGAGCTGGCTGTCAAGGTTGAATTGGCACTGTCAGTGGGTTGGTGGTGTGTGTGTGAACAGGCACAGGAGTTGCTGTCTCTTGGTACCGCTTTGTTTCTCTGAACAGATAAGAGGAAGCTGAGAAAACTGACTTGAAGATGAGCGATTTTGCTGTATTTGATTTGTGAATGTAATCACAATTATCTGATGAGAGAGCACATACAGGGTTGTTTTTTTTTCAAAGACAGGCATCTAAAATGATATGTTTTAGATTTAAGAAACAAAAAGAATGAAAGCAGAGGCTTCACATTTTAACTGTACTGGCATTTTATCCCTGGTGGATTCTAGTCTTGATGCAGACTTCATGCAAACTGTAGTGGATGTTCTTCTCTCCCTGTGGTTTTCGCAGTCACAGAATCTCCTGCACAGTTTGATGAGAATGGCACTTCCTATTTGAGTTGTGTGACTGAGTGGTAACAAATGGGACATAAGGAGTGTGGAGAGCCCCACAGAGGTGATTCTGGCAGGGCATTCTTGCAGGTAGTATTCAACAGTAAGGTGGAAGTTTCCCACTGATGCAAGTGAAGATGGTCAGGGCAGTTTGTTTTTCCAGTGGAGACTCTGCCTCTAAGTCCAGTTCAATGAGGACACCACAAATCCCAAGTTCAAAGCTTCAGGACAGTCCAACTGGCTGTTTGCATTGCTTTCTCCTGAGGTGTTTCCTCCATGTGTTTCCCTTGGCAGGACCAAGAAGAACAGGCCTATTTCGCGGTGTTTGACGGCCATGGGGGAGTGGATGCTGCCATTTATGCCTCCATCCACCTCCACGTGAACATGGTGCATCAGGAGATGTTCCAGCACGACCCAGCCGAGGCTCTGTGCCGAGCCTTCCGCGTGACCGACGAGCGCTTCGTCCAGAAGGCAGCCAGGGAGGTGAGGGAGGGCCCTGGGCCTGACCCTGAGAGCATCAATCTATAAATTCTGCCTTTGTCAGCTCCCAGCACAGGCCAAGGTCAGACTGGAGCTGCCCATGCACAGTCCATGGAGCTGGTGCCCACTGCTGGGCTCCTTTGTGTCCCATAAGAATGCCACCTTCCACTTCTCACAGCAGCCAGTTCCTTTAGAAGGATGCTGCTGCCACTCTCATGCTAACTAGGTTTAGTCCTTGGGATGGGGTTTTTTCCTCAGGTTTAGTCCTTGGAGTGGGTTTTTTTTTTCCTTATCTCTACAAGATACATTTTTTTGTCTCCAGAAAGCAAGAATAAATGGATAAGTGAGTCATAAGCCTCCTAAACTCATGCAAGGCATGAGTTAAGTGCAGGGAACTCGGGCTGCTCATAAATAAGCCTCCCTCCAAGTTCAGTGACATGCCTGTGTGTCTGTCAATGACAGGAAGTCAGCCAGGGCAGTCACACAGCAGACACCAGCAGAGCCTGGCTGCTGACAGGCAGTTCCCATTCCAGGGATGTCACGGGGCAAATTCAGTCACTCACATTCAGCCAGGTCGGCTCTGGGGAGCTGTTACTGAGCAGTTGTAGCTGTAGGGAAAGCACTGCCTGTTCCTCCCTGGGAATAGGCTCTGTGCTGCACTGTCAACATGTTCTGTCCTCGAGTTAAGCAAGAAAATGCTTTGAAATGGAAATGCATCTTTTTTTCCACCCTGTCCAGAGCCTGCGCTGTGGAACCACCGGGGTGGTGACTTTCATCCGAGGGAATATGCTGCACGTGGCCTGGCTTGGGGACTCCCAGGTTATGCTTGTGAGGAGAGGCCAAGCTGTGGAGCTGATGAAACCCCACAAACCAGACAGAGAGGTGAGAACACACCTGGGCAGTGCTCCCCACAGGTACCAGCTTGCTGTGAGTGCCGTGCCAGCGTCTCTGTGAGTATGTTCCAGTTACCCCGGTTTGTTTGGATGTCACTATGGATTTGTGTACAAATCCTTTGTCTCACCTCTGGGGGCCTGCAGCCTCCACTATGTGTACGTGAAAGAACAAATATTTATGGGAGTGTTCAGTGTGTGATGCAGCTCTGTCCAAACAACTCCTGTGTTGCTGTTTAGGATGAGAAGAAGCGCATCGAGGCCCTGGGCGGCTGCGTGGTCTGGTTTGGAGCCTGGAGGGTGAACGGGAGCCTGTCTGTCTCCAGAGCTATTGGTAAGAGAGGGCTTTTGTTCCCTTTGGAGCCTTGATTTTCTTTACAGCATCTTAATTTTTCAGCAATTTGCTTTTTAACCATAAAATTTTAATTTTCTAGTGATCACAATTTGAAATACAGCTGTAGACCGAGCTGTGAGCAATGACCTCTATTTTTCCCCCTACAGTTTGAGGGAATAATTCCCAAATAATTGCTTTAACTTGGGCTAAGAGTCATTGGCTCCATGCTGAGTTAATAAAGGGCTTCTGGATACTGTGGCTGCAAACCCACGGTGGTGTCTATGTGTTGTTTTTCCTCAGGGGACGCCGAGCACAAGCCATATATCTGTGGGGATGCAGACTCTGCCTCCACGGTGCTGGATGGCTCTGAAGACTACCTCATTCTGGCCTGTGATGGCTTCTATGACACCGTGAACCCCGACGAGGCAGTCAAGGTGGTGGCTGACCACCTCAAGGAGAACAATGGTGACAGCAGCATGGTAGCACACAAATTGGTGGCGTCTGCCCGGGATGCCGGTTCCAGCGACAACATCACTGTCATCGTGGTCTTTCTCAGGGACATGAACGCGGCCGTCACCGTCAGCGAGGAGTCGGACTGGACAGAGAACTCTTTCCAAGGGGGGCAGGAAGACAACGGGGAAGACAAGGAGAACCATGGAGACTGCAAACGGCCGTGGCCCCAGCACCAGTGCTCAGCACCGGCAGATTTAGGGTACGAAGGACGAGTGGATTCCTTCACCGACAGAACTAGCTTAAGTATAGGGTCCAGCATCAACCTGCTTGACGATCAAGGCTATTTAGACCTGACAAAAACAGAAACTAGTACACCTCAGAGTGCCAAATGTCTGCCACCAGTCCAAGTGTTTAGTCCTGGAATACCAAAGAGTGCAGATTTGATCAGCAGCTTCCCAGCGAAGGGCGAATCCCCAGAGCGCGCCACGGCCTCGGTCTGCGGGCAGAGCCACCCCGGGGAGCACGACGCTCCCCTGAGCTCGGGTGCTGCAGGGCAGGGCATCTACAGGGTGAAGGGGTTATCCCCCATCTTCTCTGGGCTGGAAGATGAACTGTTCGAATCCTTGGGAAAACGAGCCGCGTTCCTCCACGTCCGGCTCTGCGGCGGGAAGAGGCGACGAGCAGCCAGGCTCACACCAAAGTTTCACACCCTGCTCTGGGCTCACGAGCCTTCCCACCTAGAAGGATCCACCCTGTCCTTCCCTGTCCGGGGCCGCAGGAGCAGGAGGGCGTCGGCCCGACCCTCCCCCTGGCAGAGGCTGCTCAGTCGTAACACTTACAGCGAGAGCATGTTTTTGATGCGAAGACAAAGTAATTGTATACCAGACCCACCCCTCCATCAATGCTGTAAAATGTAACCACCCCCTCGTGTTCCCCCTGTCAGACTCCCAAAGTAGACATTCCCAAAATAAAAACTGGCATCATCAGAGAGCGAAAAGAGGTGGGCATTTCCGAACTGTACTCCAGTCCCCTGCAAAGCTCCAAACCCTGTGTAAATAGACCTAGGAATTAACAAATGTAGTTGTCTCAAATCTCAATAAAGTTTGCTGGTGGTGACACCCTGAGCAATTCCGCAGCCGCCCGACCACCCGCACACACGAGTGTCCAGCCACATCCACCAGGGAAAGCCAAACAGCCGCTTCACGTGGACAGACTCCGTCAGGGCACAGTCCTTAGACACGCAGAAGGCTGCACCTGCCTGAGGAATGTCTGTGCAGCAATACTTACAGCACGGTCTGGTTCAGAACTGCCAAATTTTTCTAGAGTGGGGGGAAGTTTCCGTAGAGTCGAGGTGTGGGGGGGGGTTCTTGTGTTCTGCTTTCTGTTTGTTCCAGGTGAGCGTTAAGGTGAATTAGGAATCACATCCACTTTTGCAGGTAGACGACTAAAAGCCATACAGGGTTTACCAGGTACCTTAGGAATGGACACACTAAGCTCCTGCTGCTCTGGTCTCAGACTCCTGTCGAGGTACAGACTCATAATTTACCTTTTTTTTTTTCATGTAACATAAAATGCGGAATATGAAGAAAACTTTTCTTGTAGTTTAAAAGAAAATCCTGTTTTCCTGTGGCTGGAGGTGCAGTGTAGGGAATTTCGTACCTTTCTGGTGCTTTTAGTGGCATTTTTCTTGTTTCTCAGTTTAGGAAACTGTTCTCAGTTGAACATGATTGTGCTTAATGCTTTGAGCCAACCTCTTCCCACCCTAACTTCATCTCAGGTCTTAAAAGAACAAATCCGTGGAGAAGTTCAGGACAACCCCCTGTCCCTCCGCCTGTCGCACCGGAGATCAACTGGATGAGCTGTTTGGTTTCATTAATGATTTCTAGATGGCAGAGGCATCCTTTAATATCAAATTTCAGCATGAAGGATGGTGGGTGCAGCGCCAGGGTTGCCGTGGGGCGTTGTCAGGGTGTGTAGGAATGGATGCCGGGCTGCCGGAGCGATCCAGAGCGCGTGGAAATGCCGAGGATGCGGATGAGCAGGGGCTGTCCTTGGGTGGAATTCACTGCTCTGGGTCCCCCTGGGTCCAGGGGGGCCAGTGAGGAATGTCAGCTGCCCCGGTTTGGCAGGGGCCACCAGCCCCTCCCCGCTCCCCAGGGGACGTTCCACCCTCAGGGAGCCGTTAATTGGGACGTAAATAAGCAGCCGATTCCCATCAGCTCCACTAAGCCCAGATCCTGTTACTGTCCTTTGTTACAGTAAGACATTTGGAGGAGTATGAATAAAGTCAGTCTTCATAGGCACTTAGTGTACCATTCATATCACTTTAGCAGTAACAATAGCAGTATTAGTGTTTAGCTAGAATTTGCAAAGTATTTTAATATTAAGTAGTCAGGAGATTATTCAACACGACGAGATGGCAAGGCTTGAATTCTGCCAATTTCCGCTGCTTCTATCTTTGATGCACTATTTTAAAAGCAATCTGATGAACAGCAAAAGGCTTTGTGAGCAACCAGGAGTTGGAGTGTGGCTTCAGATTCCTTTGATCTTTTTCAGACTTTGTTTTAATCTTACGGGATCATTGGCTCTTATCTGTCATCTTATTCCGCCTTAGCTGTTGTCGATGTTCTCTTCAGCTGCAGCTCATGTTCCAAGTCAGATTTACCGAGGAAATTTGAGAAACCATGAAATGGTAAAATATGCAACTCTGGGGCATCTCTGTGGTGCCTTTGTTTTAAATTATTCACAGTAATAATGGCTCGTTGGAAGTCCATCTTTAGCTGACTGTCGTGTTCCGGAGAGAAAGGTGGTGTAAGTGCAATTCTTTGTGTGAGTAACTTAAGAGTGAAAACCCATTATGGATGATAAAACTTCTTCCCAGTCTGCAGGAGCAGTTGAAGAGCACTGGACTGCATGTGTGCTGTTTTGGGAAGGATTTAGCTTTTTAGGTGTGGATTCATAAATGATAATTCTGCGACTCATCCCATTTATCCTGCTAGGAGAAAACAATCCACCATCGTAGTTCCAGTGTGGTCAGGTAAAACCATTGTATAGATAGAGCAAGTGTTCATTTCTTCACTAACTGCATATTTATAGAGTAGATAGGAACCATTTGTAAGGTAAGTCCTTTAAAGTTCTATAATATTAAAAGTAGTGGTTATTGGTCTGATTATGCTGCTCTTGATTCTACAACTAGACAAAAAGCAGTGCTTGTGAAATGCAGTGTTTTCTCTTAATGCCACTGGTGATAGGAAGTAGTTCTCTTCAGTTCAAACTCCTGTGCCCTTACTTGCTGCTTGCTGACGTAAGCAATAATCCCTCTCTAACAGTATCTAAGTGTTCTGTATCTCGTACTTTGATTGTCTATCTGGTGACAGTGTAAAACCTTAGGCTAATAGAGAAGTATCTCATTGTATTTATTAACTGTTGATACTGAGATTCAGTCTGTGACCTGTGTTTTGTATTTTTATCGTGTATCTTTAGTGGTGGTGAAATTTGTATAACGAATCTTTCCAATAAAGAGCTGAAGTATCCCTTTCCCGCGTTAACACAACCCCATCCGTTCCGGTTGGCGTGGTCACCGTGGTGGCAGAACCAGGAGGGAGCAGCGAAAACATGACTTTATTTTTTTTTTGTGTTTCAGTCTGTGTTGGTTTTGAGGAAGGGGCTCCAGGCTGGTTCTGTCTGAAGCCGCTCCAACCTCGCTCGTAAGCTCTTCACTGTGAGGACTGGCGGGATTCCCGCGATCCCGGCAGTTTCCTGTGTACTTTTCCATGTGCAACTCTGAGGAATGTGTGCGGTGCGGAGAGCAGAATAGCACCAGAGCAGGGAGCTGTTAACCCATTCGATTTGCACTAAAGGTGGGTGGAAACACATGTATATATAACTTTTCTTTACCTAGAAGTGCCATCCATTGTCCTTGCGAGTTCAAACCATCCCGTACCTGAGTTGGGTCGCGTCGTGACGCTGAAGGACAATGTCAAAGCAGACTGTACCTTATGCCACGTTTATGGTGGTGCATCATCGTAGAAACTCCGCCTGTTTTTGGAACACTGTGTGTCGGTGAGACCGTTGTCCCATGGGCAGATGAGGCACAAGGAGTTTGTGTATAGACATGGCTGCTGTAGTTCAGGTCCACTGTCTCCTCCCTGAATCCTCCCGACCCCGGCAAAGCTCTGCGGGAAAGCAAAACGAGAAAGATTGGTCTAAATTAGGGGCTGTTTTAGCAGAGTTTACTCCACCAGTCATGCAAACAAAGCCATCCAAGGGGATACTGCAGCTTCGTTCATGGCTGTAATTTAGGGCAATCTTTCTTTAATTCACACCCTCTCTGCAACAGGAACAAAAACTCTCTACCCTTGTATCATGTGCAATAAATAACGAAGCATTAAGGCAACCTCTGGCTCCGATGGCCGTATCCTCCTCCAGCCCTCGCGACTCGGCGACGGCTCCTGCCAGCATTAGAGCTAAAGAGAAACAACCCCACCTGTCAGGGCCTCCCACAACTCCTGGGCAGGGTCTCCTACAACTCCTGTACGTCGCACTCGCCTTGTGTCCGGTTTTTCCTCTCCTTCCCTCTAGAAGACACCTCTGGACAAGAACAGGGGAAGTGGCTGAGCTCACCCCCAGTGCTGCTGCTCGTGGCCAGCCAGGCGTGGTGTCAGCTCCTGGGTGCTCCTGTTGACCTTTCTGTAGTACCTTGTTCATGAAACATGTTCTTTATGAAGTGAATAAATTAAAGCTAATCATGTACCAGTGTTGGGACTTTTCCATTTGCAACCTTGTTCTACAGTTCACCCGCGAGTTTAGTTATAACCATGTATTAGTCATCCATATTTTATTTATGAAAGCTGTTTATACAGGAAAAACTGTTTTACCAATATCTTAATAAAACAGTAATTTAAACCACACTTCAGGCAGTCTGGTTATTTAAGAGCTAACAAAGACAGCAGCCACACTGTGTTCACTGTGGTCAAAGGGGGCTTCCTTTGATATCTGACAGGAGCTGGCTCTGTTGAGCTGACTCCATGGGGTTGCCCAGGGCCCATCACAGCCCAGCTCTGCTGTTTCACAGCCCAAAAGGCTGTGGTGGCACAGTCCAAGTAGACAAAT